ATGGATCCGGCGGTGCATGAGATCGACGAGGAACCTCCGGTGCTCGAACGGGCGGATGAGGTCATAGAACGCTTAACACAACGTTGGGGCGATATAGCGCTGGAGGAGGAGGAGGAGATCGGATTTGAGCCGGTGGGGGAAAGCGTTGGAGTAGTGACGGAGAGGAGGAACGGCGATGGGTGTGTGTTGGCAGGTTCTTGACAACAAAGGTGGTGAAGTTGGAGTACATGCGGCAGGTGATGGCCTCGGTTTGGCAACCGGTGTGGGGTATGCAGGTTACGGAGATTCAACCGGGGTTGTTTATGTTCATCTTTTATGATGAAACGGATATGCGGAGGGTCCTCGATGAAGGGCCGTGGTCTTTTGATAATAGCACCCTCGTTTGTAGACAAGTGGAACTGGGTACAAGGCCGACAACGGTTGAATTGAACTCGGTGGATATGTGGGTACAACTTTATGACTTACCGTTGGGATATACATCGGAAGCGGTTCTTGAGCAAGCGGCCAATTTTATTGGTTCATTTGTAAAAGTTGATGATCGTTATCCGGGTGCACCATGGAAGATGTTTCACCGGGTCCGTGTGTCAATACCGGTGGATAAGCCACTAAAACGGAGGATGAAACTTATTAAGCGAGATAAGACAAGCTGCTGGGTAAATTTCCGCTACGAACGGTTACATAATTTTTGCTTTTATTGTGGTTTACTGGGGCATGCCTATAAATTTTGTAAGCTGGCAAGGAAATCAGGACTGACTGCGGATAAATTTCCATATACGGCGGACCTGAAGGTGGGGGGAGGTAGCCGGGGGCCAAGACAAGTGGGGGATCCATGGTTGGTACCGCTAGATGGGAAGGGGAAAAGTGTGAAGAGAGGGGAGGGAAAGATGGGAGATACGGCATTGGGTGATGGTGCGGGAGGAGGGGGTGTACGGGTTGGGGAGGAGAGGGCGAGTGAGGGGGTGGTGGTAGCGGCCTCTAAGAGAAGGAGGGGGGATGGGGTGCATGGTGGCAGTATAAGGATGGATGCAGGAGATGTGGTGATGTCTGAGTTCTCAAAAAACGGATTTACGGCGGGTCCTGGTGGTCAGGCTCGCCCATCTCAATGAGTACAATAAGCTGGAACTGTCGTGGCTTGGGCAATCCACAGACAGTTCGTGAAGTGGTGGACATGGTGTCCGTAAGAAGCCCGATTTGGTCTACTTAATGGAAACAAAAGTAGATCGGAGTCATGCAGAAAGACTACAAATTAAGATTGGTTTTGAGGGTCTGTTTTATGTGGATCCAGATAGGAGAGGGGGTGGCTTAGCATTATTATGGAAAAAGAATAATACTGCTAGGCTGTTGAGTTATACAAAGAATTATGTGGATGTGGAGGTAGCTATAAGGGAGAAAGTATGGCGAATGACATGTTTCTATGGGTTCCCACAGAGGCATAGACGCAGGGAGGCGTGGCAATTGTTGAGTGGTTTGAGGGACAAGTCTACACTGCCCTGGGTGGCTTTGGGAGACTTTAATGATTTGTTATACCAGCGCGAAAAGAGAGGGGGGAATCCTCACCCGGATAGTCTGTTGAGAGGCTTTGGAGATACTGTATACAATTGTGGGTTGGTTCAATTGCCAATGCGAGGTCACCAGTTTACATGGGAAAAGGGGAAAGGGACTGATAGGTGGATGGAGGAAAGGCTGGATAAGGTGTTGGTGTCTACACGATGGACTACTTTGCATACTGAGGCATGGGTCGAAAATATTCTAACCCGAAAATCTGATCACTCCGCTCTCTTCCTGAACACTGATATTGTACGGGGCCGCAGACATGGGGGACCGAAACGGTTTCGCTTTGAGATGGCATGGGTTCATGATGACGGTTGTCGGGGGGTGGTGGAGACTGCCTGGCAGGATAGCAGGGATAAGGGGCTGTTGATTTGTCAGCAGCATTGTGGAGGAAGGCTAATGCGGTGGGGTGAGGAGCATTGGCATAAGTTTGGTGACCGTATAAAGCAATTGAGGAAAGAGCAAGATGAACTGCGTCACAGACGGGATTCGGCTGCATTGGCCGAATTTCGCGATATTGAGGAAAGACTGGGACAGGTGGAGATGCAGGAGGATGTATTTTGGAGGCAGCGGGCGAAGCAGCATTGGCTGCATGGTGCGGACTGCAATACCAAATTCTATCACAGGTACGCTTCTGCTCGTAGAAGGAAAAAATTATATTCCTAGATTAAAAAATGATGTGGGTGCATGGGTGGAGGGGGATAATATGAGGAAAGTTGTTTTGGAGTATTATGCTGCTATTTTTACATCGTCTAACACTGAATGTGAGGATCCCATGCTTGATAATTTTGCCCCCCGTGTGACTAGTGAACAGAACACTATGCTCCTTCGCCAGTTTGAATTAGAGGAGGTCAGGAGTGCTTTGTTTGCAATGTTCCCTGACAAAGCACCAGGACCGGATGGTATGAACCCTGGGTTCTACCAGGAATATTGGGATATTGTAGGGGGAGATGTGTCTGAATTTATTGTGAATTGCTTAAACTCAAGCATGCTGCCTGAGGGATTGAATGATACTAATGTGGTCTTAATTCCGAAGAAAGATGTGCCTGAGACAGTAGCTGATATGAGACCAATAGCACTGAGTAATGTTCTGTACAGAATCATGGCAAAGGTAATAGCCAGTAGGATGAAACCACTTATGGGGAACCTCATCTCAGAGGCCCAGAGTGCTTTTATTCCTGGGAGACTTATTACTGATAATATTTTAATAGCTGCAGAGGTGGGGCATTATTTAAATAGAAAGCAGTGTGGTAGGAAGGGGTGGGCGGCATTGAAGTTGGATATGGCCAAGGCATATGATAGGATGGAATGGCGGTTTCTGAGAAGAATGTTGGAGGTAATGGGTTTTGATGACCGGTGGATTAATTTGTTGATGCAGTGTGTTACTACTGTCCAATATAACATCCTGATTAATGGTGTTAATAGTGGGAGTGTAACGCCAACCAAGGGACTACGACAGGGAGATCCTTTGTCTCCATACTTATTCTCATATGTGCTGAAGGGTTATCTATGTTATTGCGAAGAGCGCAAATGACTGGCTTAATACATGGCTGCAGAGTTGCTAGGGGAGCCCCACATATATCACATCTGTTTTTTTGCAGATGATAGCCTATTATTTTTTAAAGCAGATAATAGAGAGGCAGAAGTAATTAAACAGTGCCTGGGACGATATGAGGAGCTTTCAGGACAAAAGGTAAACTATCACAAGTCCAGTGTCTGTTTTAGCAGAAATACCAGTGTGGAGGATAGGGAAGTGGTGGCAAGTTGCTTACAGGTAGACCAGGCACCCGACTTTGGGAAATATCTGGGGTTACCATCTTTTGTGGGGAGAAATAAGAGGGCAGTGTTCTCATATATTGAGGATAAGATAAAACAGAGAATAAGCTCATGGAACAAGAAATTTCTGACACAGGCAGGGAAGGAAATTCTATTGAAAAGCGTGGCACAATCTATGCCTACCTTTTCAATGAGTGTCTTCTTGATTCCAGACACGGTGTGTTTATCAATCCAGAGAACAATGAACAAGTATTGGTGGGGCACTGGTATGGATAGAGGAATACACTGGAAAGCTTGGGATAAGATGAGTATCCCAAAGAAATATGGAGGAATGGGATTTAAAGATCTCAAGAATTTTAATTTAGCAATGTTGGGAAAGCAGGCATGGCGTCTACTCACAAGTCCAGACACACTTGTTGCAAAAGTCTATAAGGCAAGATACTATCCGAATACCACTTTTATTGATGCCAAGATAGGAGGATGCCCAAGCCACTCATGGAGAAGTATTATGGCAGCTCATGACATGGTGGTGGCACGGGTGCGCAGGAGGATAGGGGATGGTAAAACGACACTAATCTGGGGACACCCATGGTTACCTGATAATCCTAGGCCTTTGGTACAGACTAATATGCCTGTAGAGCTCAGGCATGCTAAAGTGGTAGGTTTAATAGATGAACAAACTGCTACCTGGGACCCACATATTTTAGCAGACTTATTTGATGAGGAGGATGTGAGTAGAATAGTGAGGATACCTGTCAGTCTGGGATATGAGGACTCATGGTATTGGCCCGATGACCCCAATGAGGTATATACGGTTAAAAATGCTTACAGGAACATTATGGGTATTTATGATCACTCACCCGGGGATTTTGAAAAATGGACTAAAATGTGGGGAATGAAAATACCCCCAAAATGGAAGTTTTTTTATGGAGAGCAATTTGTGATATTCTTCCAACAACTAACAACTTGATTATAAAGAGGGTGGAAGTGGATCCCACATGCCAAATGTGTGGGCTAGCGCATGAGAATGTTATGCATACATTCATTAATTGTGATTATTCTAGACATGTTTGGAATATTTCAGGATTGCCAATAACAAATATTGTTGTCAACTCATTCCCCGAGTGGCTAACAATTGTGCTTACAATGTTCACAGAGGATCAAAGTGCAGCGGTGGTGGCATTGCTTTATCGCTTATGGAGGTGCAGAAATTCAATTGTATGGGACGGCACATTGCCGCGCCCTACGACGGCTTGGAGGCAGGCCACGGCGGCACTGCACTCCTACCAGCAGGTAGCGCGCCGCGGCTCGGCATCCCCCACGGCAGCTACGGCGGACAGCAGCGGCGGCTCTACCCCACGATGTTATGTGGATGCGGGATATCGGGAAGACACGGGAGAGGCTACATACGGTATTGTGTTGCTGTCTCCGGAGGGATCTTTTCTAGCGGCAAAAAATGGAAGACTATCGAATTGCTTGTCACCGTTTATGGCAGAGACTTTGGCATGTAAGGAAGCTCTATCCTGGCTATTGGAAAAGAATATAACAACAGTATCCCTTCAAACAGACTGTTTACAGCTCAGGAATGCTATACGACAGAGATCAGCTATCATAATGTCCTATGTTGGAGTAATAGTAGACCAATGTAGGAATTTAATTTCGTCTTTTAATTATGTCTTGTTAAATCATATTTCTAGGCAGATTAACGCGCATGCGCATACGTTAGCTTTTGTTCAGGATCAAGCTATGTATTGGAATTATATCCCCCCCAGACTGCATTGCAGCTTTGATTCATTAATACAATCATTCATTGGTTGGCTTTCAAAAAAAAATAGCAAACACTTTATTCATAAATAATATTATATTTTTCAGTATAAGTATTACATTTTTCATCCTTACTCGACCGTCTCACGGACACGATCTTACACGAGTTTTTGCAATAATATAAATGTTTTACAACAACAATAACAATACACTGCATTTAAAAATAATATGAAAGTGTTCATATGAATCATATCATATATCCACCACCACAACAACAACAAATGAAAGTGTTCATATGAATCATCCACCACAACCGCAACAACAATTAGAAATTATATATATACTCGACCATTGCATTCTTCTCGATCATTTCATGTCCTCGATCTATTTCAAAGATTGCATGATCTAAATAGTTTCCATTGAGCTATTTTTGAAAGCCATCTTTCTCTTTTGGGCATTAGTTGGCAATTTGACGTCAGTTGCTAGACCAACAGCTTGGAGTGCCCACACAATACTCCAAGTAATGTCAAGTTGATACCACTCAAGACCATGTCTAGCTGAAAACTCAAAGGCATGGTGATTATTATGCCAACCCTCTCCAAATGCAAGCAATGCTATTAACCTGACGATACGATGATAATAGTTTATATCCAAGTTAAACTTTATAAGATGAGAAAAGAGCAAATACCAATTTTGGTCCGATGAGTATTAGTAAAATGACAATTTTGATCCACTACATGTTCTTAACAATTTTCATCAACGACTATTGAATTGTTTTAGTACCAATTTTCATCCATGATTATTATTTTAGTGCTAAAATTCATCACACTAGTCACCTCCACGTTTCATATATGCCAAAATATAAAATTATTAAGGATATTTTTGTCTTTTTCAAATTAAGATCTCAATTTGAGCATGACTAAAGGAATTTAAGTCTAAAAATCTATTCCAATTCACAGTTCTCCTCGTCAAATTAAGGTAGGATGATAAGGAGAACTGCAAATTGGGATCGATCTTAGGGCTTAAATCTCATTATTAATGCTCAAATTGGGATCTTAAGTTGAAAAGGACAAAAACACTCTTAAAAATTTTAGTTTTTGGCATGTCTTAAATGATTGAGTGATCGGCGTGATGAATTTTGACACTAAAACAATAGTCGTGGATGAAAATTTGTACTAAAACAATAATCGTGGACGAAAATTGGTTGGAATAAAACTTATGAACCAAAATTGTCATTTTACTAATACTCGTGGGACCAAAATTGGTATTTACTCTATAAGAAAATGTTATCAATAGATCGCTAGAATGATAACACATTAAAGATTTTTACAAACCAATTATTTGTAGATAGATCGCTCGTGTTCCATGCTCGATTTCCTCAATGGTGACATGCAGAATTCACAAAAGATGTTACGTGATACACAAACACAATTCTTACTCCCTGTAAAAGAATATTAATTTTTTTTTAGAAAAGGTTATTTATTGATTAATCAATCAGTAGACATACCAAAAGAAAAAAGAAAAAAAAAAAAAAAAAGAGATGAAATCTAAGTCTAAGACACGTAAATAAGGAGCTCATTTTCCTTATTTAATTTCCAAACACTATTACTCTTATTTAGAGTCTTTTTTCTTTTTTTTTTTTTTAATTTTTAAGTCTCAGTTTGTGGTAAATAATCAATAACAAACCCTAGCAATAGTATAAGTCATTAGTTTCAAGGGAAACATAAATAGAACTGAGTTTATTGGTGAAAAATACTCAAACATTTAGGTATCATAACAATTATATTCAAACCTCTTTATAACTTGAAATTTTAATATCAAATCTTTGTATCTTGAAACAATTATATCCAATTATAAAATTCAATTCAATAAAAATTCTAACATAACCCGACTTTAAAAATTTGTAGTACAATTATTTAAAAGATAAAATCATAATAAAAGCATTTTAAAAAATATAATTGTATAAAATTGTTACTTCATACAACTAAAATTTTTATATTAAACATCCAAAAAAAAAATAAATTATATTGTATGTATAAAATTGTTACTTCATACAATTAGAGGTTAATTAACTTTACTTAACTTTTGAGAAAAGGGAAGTACGAGATGTCAAGATCAAGGTGCATGTTTGATGAAAAGTCTCTTATTAGCCACTTAATTATGAGTCATGAGAATGTCATTAAAAGTGTTCTAATAGTCTGGAATGACTTTAAGAAAAGTTTCCGGCCTCCCTGTTAAAACACACCTGTTATCTCGCCAATTGACTATTCCCCTCCTTCCTTATTACTTGTTATTAATTACAATTTACAACTATGCTTGTTTTTGTTGTTTGCATCAACCAACCTTTATTGAGGGTTAAATTTTTTGTTGTTTGCATCAACCAACCTTTATTGAGGGTTAAATTTTCACGAGAAGATTGTGTACTTTGTGCTTGAGAAACATATATAAGCTTTACATTGATCTATCATCAATCAAGAGAATGACAATCTCACCCCCAATTATACTCAATCATCATATTAATATATTAAAAACATTAAACAATTTAAAAAGAATTTGAAAAATATCAAGAAATTGAGGCTTAGCAATTCAAACAATACTTAAGCTTTAGACTATTAGTTTTATCAAGTTCAAGAAAACAATAAAGTTTCAAATTTTAAAATTAGAATTTTACAGTTATCATTTAAAACAAATTAAATGGAAAAACATTTGAATTAGGTCCTGTTTGGTAAAATGGCTGTTAGCTGATAGCTGTTAGTTGTTAGCTGATTGTGTTAATTAGAGGGTATAAATAGTTGATAACATTAGCTGGTTGTAGAAAAGTGTTTGGTAAATTAGCTGTTAGCTGATAGCTGTTTGGTATAATTTATTTTCTCAAAAAGCTAATTGAAAAAGTTGCTTGGAGTAGCATTTTGAATTTTAGCCTTTTGGAGTTGCAAAAAGCTAATTAATCAAATATTTATATTGATATTTTAACTAAATCAAACAATTAATAGTGGTCAAATAAGTCAAAATTGGCCTATAGGCCAATTTGTTACCAAACAGGGCCTTAATCAATTAACTAATTATATGTATTTAAATGTTTTAAGTAATTAACCTATTATTATATGGCCAAAGGCCTTGTAGTCGAGTGGCATAATTGTGAACCCTCAAATGAGAGGTCTCAGGTTCGTACTCTAGTGTGGGGGCATTGATTTTTTGTACATTATCATAGTTTATGAATTAATAACAACAAAATGATAAAACATATCTTAAATGTATTCTAAGGACAAAATTTTCACTTCCACACTTTATATTGTTTGGTTCCCTTTCCACTTTTCAAACATATAATTTTGGTATAGATATAAATTAAAAGTGTAAGCACAAATGATTCCCCTTTCCTAATTGGTAACATCATACATCAAATAATATATCTTTATATTTACTGGTAGTTAATTACTTATTATCATAATTTACCTAAGATAACTAATAAGAGGCAATCCAAGTTATACTGCTCAATGATGTCCTTATTTTTTGTATTTATGGATCGGAGTTGTATGTTATGTTGAAATGTAGTACTTTAATATTTTTGGACTAATTGTCATTACACGGTATATTATTTCATTTGTTAAATATTAAATATTAAATAAATTTACTTTTTTGAATGCTACTGACTCACAAAGAGCCAATAACGCCTTCATTGAAGCTCAAACTCACAACCTTCCAAATGGAAGTCCAACCCGAGTATCATTAAACCACATGGTTTTGGTATTAAATGAATTTACTTAATTGTACTTATTTTAAAATATTCTAAATAGAAAAACATTTTTGTGTTATAAATACAGGAAAACATCAATAAGTACCAAATTCATCAGAATAGGCAAAGATGAAAACGAGGAAAAATGCATACCATGCCCCAAATTAAACTATTTATGAAAATCCGCCTACGGCATATAGCAATGTCGCAAGTATAATAGGATTAATAATATAGGTATTATGAATGAACTTGTAGAAGAATTGATTCTCCAAATCAGCTATATTTGTCGGCCTTTCACTCTACACAAAAATATGAATTAATTAAAACAAACCAAACAATATAATTCTCTAACATATGAAATGCCAAAAATGTAATAATCTAAGAGAATTATTTAATTTGAGTATTATAAATATTACGTACCCTTTCATTAGCGGATTTAGTGTCATATATCCAACCTATGTGACTGTACCAAAATCCTTCAATATTGGGGATGTGAAGATCATTTTTAGTATCCACATAATGATGGTGATATCTATGGTTACTCACCCAACCAATTGGATCTCCCTATCAACCAAATGGTAAAGTAGCATTAAAGCTATGTTATATAAAGGTGAAAAGGAGCATTCCTTAATTTTGTAATTTATGTTAAGGCAAAGCGTTTGTCAACTATAAGCCTATTTTACGGGTCTCAATTTGTGACACGTGTAAGTTCTAATAAAAATGGGTCATAACATAATTGATTATATAATTAATATTTTAAACCTTATATATATATATATATATATATATATATATATATATATATATATAATACTTTATAGCATAAATATAGTACTTTATAGCAAAACTCTAATAGAAATTTTGCAGGAAATAAAATAATAATATAGCAGAATTGCATTTGCATATATAATCATACTTTATAGAATAAATATAGTACTTTATAATAAAATTGTAATAGACAATTAGCAGGAAATAAATTAATAACGCCTACATGCACATATATAATATGTTAACTGGAGACACATAATATGCAATTTAATTATATATTAGGTGCCTGTACTTAACATATTATGTGTTACTGTATTCATAGTCTACCTAGCTACTTAAACACACGATATATATATATATATATATATATATATATATATATATATATATATATATATATATATATATATATATATATATATATATATATAATCGCACTCAGGTGCGAATGCTTCACCCAGGAGCAAAATAGGAATGGATTTTGTCTGTCCACGTGTCCAGATCTAATGGATGAGAAACACTGATTTTTTCAAAAAAGCGCGGTGGCATTTTGTAAATAATTGAACATCGAAGTGCAAGTAAAATGTATTACAAGTGCATGTAAAATGTATTATAGGTGCAAGTAAAAATTTACATTGAGCATCAATACTAAGTGCACCTATAGTTATAAGTAGTTGCACATATAGTTATAAGTAGTTGCACCTAGGTGCATGAATGTTTGCGGGTGGTTTTCAGGGGTATTACTACCCGCTGAACTCAGATCAATGAATGTTAACTAAGCAAAATTACATGCACTTATAGGTGAAAGTAGGTGCACCTATAGTTATAAGTAGTTGCACCTATAGTTATAAATAGTTGCACCAATAGTTATAAGCACACCCAGGTGCATGAATGTTTGCGGGAAGTGAATGCTAACAAGGCAAAATTACATGCACTTATAGGTGAAAGTAGGTGCACTTGTAAGTGATTTTACTTGCACTTCGATGTTCAATTATTTACAAAAATGCCACCGCGTTTTTTTAAGCTATTAGATCTGGACACGTGTCGTGCGCTAATTCGTTCGCATATTTCTTCCTGGCACTTATTCGCACCTGAGTGCATCCATATATATATATATATATATATATATATATATATATATATATATATATATATATATATATATATTTATTTATTTATTTATTTATTTATTTATTTATTTATATATATAATAAAGAAATTTGAATCACATGAATATGAGACCTGAAGAGCATGAACACCGCAATAGGTAAAAAAGTACTCGAGCCATTTGGGAAGTTTGAAACTTCTGTGGCTCAGATTCCTATGATAAGAGAGGGTAATACCCAACCCAGTGACGATGTACAACCCATACGCAATGCCAAAAGCATTCCAACTGAAACAAAATGGGGCAAACAGACAAAGCCAATGTATCAACGGAAACAGGACCACCTTCGATATCTGCGAGCCGGGCCCCATTTCAAAACATTTTGCCATTCTCCTCCAAAACTCAACCCTCGTCTGATTCTTTGCCACTTGTGGGGTGCCTTCTCCGTCATTAGAAGCCGGGCGAAAGCACACAATGGGTGATAATAAGAGAAAATTTCAATTTTGGTCATATGACTATAGGGGTTTTGTTAATTTTAATACCTGATTTTTAAAAATGTCAATTTAGTACCTTGAGTATGTAATTTTTGTCAATTTTAGTCACTCCGACCAAATTACTGACCAAATTTCGTCGGAAAAAAGACAATTTTACCAGACTTCAAAAGACGATTTTGCCCCTCAAATTATAGACTAAATGAATGATTAAGTTTTTCCGGTAAAGTTTGGCCGATAATTTAACCGGAGTGACCAAAATTGATAAAAATTGCATAGTCAAGGTACTAAATTGACACTTTTAAAAGTCAGATATTGAAATTAACAAAGCCCCTATAGTCATATGACCAAAATTGAAATTTTCTCGTGATAATAATAACCTTTTATATTTTTCCTCCTTGCAATTAAAGAATCCATTTTGTCCTAGTTGTGTTGTGGGGATTTGAGTCTGCCTAAGTAAAGGGCTGCAGGTTTGTGGTAGTGAAAAGAAAAATGGTTTAGCAGCTAGTGACGGCCACATTGACAACGATGATAAGGATGCCATTTTCTTTAATTTTGTGTGCCTTTAATTGGTTTGGTAATTTTCTCATATATATATACACACCAAGACACAAGATAAAGCTAGCAATAGTAGCACAGCAGGAACTTGGGAACCACCATTAAAGGGATGTACATTAACCATGCCCTTACAATAGTAACAAATTATATATCTTATTTCAGTACTTCTTTTTAAGAAAAATGGTTAAACAGCGTGTGTATGTAATTTTTTTTTTTTTTTAATCATCATCATCATTATTATTAGAGAAAATTGTAAAAAATGCCCCTCTATAATATGCGAATTATCAATGTCACCCCTGAATTATGAGTGGTGTAAATGTTGCCCCTCAATTATCAAAATGGTGCACATATAACTCCTCCCGTAACGGACCTGTGGTTCCCCAACGCTGTCCATCGCTGGTACTTCGAATCGAGGGAGGAAAAAACAACTAAATTACATATTTACTCCGACTTAACGGTGTCGTACACTAACGGGGAACCACATGTCCGTTACGGGAGGGACTATATGTGCACTGTTTTGATAATTGAGGGGCAACATTTACACCACTCATAATTCAGAGATGACATTGATAATTGGCATATAGGGATGGCAACGGGACGGGGCGGGGGCGGGGAGTATACTCCCCGTCCCCGTCCCCGTCCCCACGACCCCGTCCCCATCCCCGGCGGGGAATTGATAATATTTCCCATCCCCACAGGGAATTAGCCGGGGACGGGAATTCCCCATTCCCTATCAACTCCTAGTCAAAATGTTAAATTTTTAGTTTTTGTTAATAAAAAATTTAAAATCTAAGTCTTAGTTTCAAAACTAAAATACTAACTCTACAAATAAATAAATAAATAAAATACTAACAATATACTATTTATATTTATATATGGAAGTATATACAGTAGCAATACTGCAACTTATATAAACAGTAACAACTTTAACTATATATATATATATATATATATATATATATATATATATATATATATATATTCATTACATATATAAATATATATAGTATTCTGTTAGTATTATATATATATATATATATATATATATATATATATATATATATATTATTAGGGGACGGGGCGGGGCGGGGAGGGGTATCCCCGTCGCCGTCGCCGTCCCCGTCCCGTACGGAGAATTACACATATTTCCCGTCTCCGTCTCCGATCCCTAAAAATTTTCCTCATCCCTGTCTCTTTCGAGGCGGGGATCAGGGATCCCCGTCGAGGACGGGACACATTACTATCCTTATTAATATATTATAGAGGGGCATTTTTTTTTTTTTACAATTTTCCCTTATTATTATTAATGAATTTGAGGATAAGGGTGTACGTTGGCATACTGCAGGTATCCAATTATATATCGACTTTCAAGGCTATCTTATCATATCCGTAGATGCTCTTCAATTTGGCATGATGAATTTGTTTCAGGTGTTTTTTTTTATAGTACAAGGATACTATTTTTAGTATGGTCAATAAATATAACATAATTTATTGGCATGATGAATTTGTTTCAGGTGTTTTTTTTTATAGTACAAGGATACTATTTTTAGTATGGTCAATAAATATAACATAATTTATTGGCAAAAACATGTGTCAGATCATCAATTTTATAAATCCTTATCGGTGAGACAGATCAGGTCCAGATGAAAATGTAATACTAATTAATAATAAATTCTTTATCACTTATATCAAAAAGTATAATACTTTTGTAAAAAAAGAATATAATATTTTTACATTTTAATTTAAAAGTACTACATTTTTTCTCGTATTACATTTTTTCGTGTAAGTAACAAACACTTGTTAACATCACTTATAAAGGAAAGTGTAATATTTTTTAAAAAAATGTAATACTTTTAAATCAAAATGTAAAAGTATTACATTTTTTTTTTCTAAAGCATTACACTTTCCCTTCTTATAATAAGTAGCAAACACTTCATTCATGACTATTATTATATTTTCCACTATAAGTATTCCATTTTCATATAATTTAAGAAAAAAAATTATATTATCATAAATTTGAATAAGTTTATAAATAATAAGACCAGGACTATGTGGTGGTACCCAGGTTGGACTTTCATTTGTCAGGTTGTGAGTTTGAGCTTCAGTGAAGGCGTTATTGACTCTTCGTGTTTTAGTAGGTTGATAGAGACTACATTGTAATAGAGCCAGTAGCATTCAAAAAAAATAAAAAGATATTTAAAGAACAATAATGAAGAAGTAAAATCATATATTACAAATTTAAAAACTTAAATACAATTTTCATATTCTATTTTACCTGTCTTACTTTCCTTTTTAGTATATCCCAAAATGTTGTCCTCTTCCCAAAATTGAACATCACCATCATTCTACTTTTTCCAAATTACCCTTATGTCTTTTGCTTTCTTTATTGTTTTTGTTTCCAAAAGCGAAAAAGTGAAGGGCATAATTGAAAAATACATAACATTTACTTTATTTCTTAAAAAGCGTGTAAAAAGTAAATGTGACAACCAATTCGGGATGAAGGGAGTATAATATAAGAAAAAATGGCACTTCTTTTCATAGAATAATAACATTTGTCATTTCTTAATTATACTGTCACCTTTTTTTTTTGTTCCTCAATTATTTGTGAAGTTTTTTTTTTTTTTTTTTTTTTTTTCCTTAATTGTCTATAACAGTGATTTTTTGCATCAATGCTTGAAAGTAATTGAATAGTATAATTGTAGTTTTCTTTTTAAAAAATTTGAATTTCATTTTCTTGATTAGCTCTGTACGTGAAAATGAAGTATGAACACAGCTTCCACAGACACCACAATTTTTCTATCTATGATTTATATCCAAGTTGGATTTGGTCCAACATAACTATCACGCATTAACTTCGTACCATCACAATTGACAATTCTATATGAACATAACATTAATGTCTTTATGTGTGTGTTCTTTGATTTCCGACACAGAACTATTATTTCATTGAAAACTTGATGCTTCAACTTTCACAAAAAACAAAATACTAAGCGGCCTTTTGGTTCACGGGGCAAGAATAATAAGTAAAATTGGATAAATGATGTTAAAGGATGCTTTTACCCTTATTTTTCACAGCCAAAACGGTTGAAACTTGAAAGTAACGGACATGGCAAGTTGAAATTCAAAAGTCGAAGATTACGGATAATCAATTTGAAAGTCACCATACTCGGAGGACCCTATATGACATTAACTCTTATTATTAATTATTTTTTAGTTGGTAGACTTGTTTATTTATATAACTTTGAGAATGAAATTAAAAAAAAAAAAAAATCGCTAGCAATTGCATTGTCTTCTCACATAATGAGTTATTGATTCACCATAATTTATCCATTCATTATATTTTCGGGCCCAATGTGAAAGCCCTGAGTTGATAATGTACATCCCCTGAATACAATGTACATTTTTTTTGTACTGAATGTACATTATTTTTGTACTAAATGTATATTATTTTAATGTAGACAAAATATAGCTCACACAACTTATGTGGACCATGGTTCACACAATAATGATTGCTGTTTTATACAGAGTATGTTCATTATTTCAACAATATACTTAAAAATGAACATTTAGTACACAAAAATGACCATTCAACATACTAATAATGATCTTCTCAAAAAAACATACTAATAATGAATTTTATGTCAATAATTCATCTCGTAAAGTGGACCATAATCCATGGTATCATGATTGATATTATGTATGATTGATATTATGTATTCAGTATTGTATCGTATTTGACTTGTGATTGATGTTTAGTTTTGATTAGTTAAATTGGTACTTGGTAGGAATAGGTGATGAGGTGTATAAATAAAGACAATTAAGTTAATTATTGTCCCTCTTTAATTTGGCTGCAACGTGTAGAGCTTAATTGGTGGAGAGCGTGAATATGCAGTTTTGCTTCCATCAGCATTAAAAGTCATGGATGAGAAGCTAATATAGCTACTTGTTCTAGAAATAGACAAATCAAATTACAATATAAAACTCAAGACAATTAATTAATGAGGGCAGCAGCTTTAGCAGCAATGAGTTACTGATTGGAGTGGATATATGGTGGGGATTGACAAGCAGTGGTGGAGGATATATATATAGCAGAGGTCATCATTCAGAATAAGCGTGGAAGAGGCCGGGGATTAGAGGAAACTCCCAAAATGATCCTTTGAATCAGTTTGGATTCAATTAAAAAAAAGTCATATGACCAATTTGAGAAATGACAATTTGAAAATAGTTGAAAATCATTTTAAACTAAAAATTAAGTTATACTTGAAAATTATTTTGAAAACTAAAAAAAAAAACAAAAAAAAACTTGGAAATCATTTTTGAAA